AATAAACAATTCTGAAAAAATTCTAAGAATTATATGAGAAGAAAATAAACTAAATTTTTCTGTTCCAATTTTTCTGTAAAATTGATAGTATTTGAGAAAAAAATTACTGAAAACCAATTTCCGGCAATTTTTAATATTATCTCGTTAATTATTGCGAAAATTACAAAATGGTAAAGGACTTTTCAACTCAGTTTAGTCCGCTCTATCTATACAAAAGCGATTGGCCAAAACTTATGGGACATTCTGAATATATAAACTGATCAATATCTGTCAAAACAATCTATGTAGAAGAGGATTGATAACCGGAAGAATGTTTTTCACTATTGTAATAATTTCTTCCATTTTCCACGCGCTGTCTTGTCTAGTGAAATAGCGCTACTGAAATTAATTAAAATCATTATTACTCGAAATAATTACACTGAATTATACAGGGTTAAATGTCTGCTCGCTTTACATAAAAAACGCTAGTCACATTCGTGCAATCTGTATATACCTATAATAATATATAATTTGTCGTGCGTAAAATGCCGTGTATCTAAATATTTGACAAAAACAATGTACTTAACAATATTCTCATTTTTACATATAAAATGATAAAATCAATTCTTTTAGTAGTCCTTAGTGAGTATGCCGATATAAATAACAATAGGCTCGTAAATTAATTATGGGATCACTAAGACTATATATATATAGGTATATTAAATAGATTCAAGAAATCGAGATAGACCGAAATCAAGTTATTTACAAAGAAATGAAATCAATGCTATATACAGGAATGACAATTCCTTTCGTGTGATGTATCAATCACTAAATCTAAACAAAAATGAACAGTCGATATCTCTCTTCTTAAAATCCTTAAGTAACAATAACGGAAGATAGACAGATTATTCTATTGATAAGTACAGCGATGCATCCGTTTCGTATGTATATTCTTTAATTGCGATTGTAGTCAGTATTAAACTTTATTTCTTGCACTTAGCATTTTAGCGTTACGGGAAACGATGCGTTATATATATGATACTGTCCTTTTACGATTAAGGGGATCCTAAAGCGAAGCTCAAACTCCGACGATGTTACTAGAGGTCACTGTTTTTCAAGCGCATCGATATATCTTTACATACTACCACATCAATCTTACGTAACCTATGATACACGCAGTCGCACGTTCGTGTCAATTTTCGTGTAATAAATTCGTCGCGATAAAACGTCTAAATCTAATTCTAAAAACTCGATGTTATGTTCGTGCAAACTACGTGTTTGTGAATTACTATTTCATAAGTATAGGTTGCACTTTCGTATCAAACAAATGTTATTACGATTTGACAGCTTGAGATGCTATATTACACTACGCATGGTAAAAAATATATCAATTTCGAAATTTTTGGTCTCAATAAACTCCACCTCACGTATTAATGCGTATATTTTAATCTTGGAAAAGGATTTTCGAATCTATGAAAGAGAAAAAAATATTTATTATACAAAAATTATATGATTTAGTTAGTAATACAGACGCTTTAGAATCCTCTTAATCTCAAAGTATTGTAACGTCTTTTCTGCACTACATTTAGAATAAGGCTATCAAGTTTATTATAGCCATCAATAGTAACTTGTATTCGTAATGTGTATCTAGGAAGCA